ATTTTCTAAACATCTTCAGTTGAGTTCAGCTACTTCTACACAAAAGGATCAGACCACTTACCAAAGCGAAGTAAAAATTATTTTTTGTTTTATTTGCACTGGAGCATTTCATAATTCATAATTGAATTGTTAGTAAGATCAATTGATTGACCACTTTTGGAATACTAACTGATAATCATGTGATATTTTATTAGAGCCTGCATTGTGCTATGTTTCATGTAGATAATTTTTTAAAATAACAGCTTTAATGAGATATAATTCACATACCGTACAACTCATTCATACAATTTAGTTCTTTCTAGTATATTCTTGGTGTTGTACACACATCATCACCATCAATTTTAGAATATTTTCATCACTCCAGAAAGAAACCCTGGACCTATTAGAAGCCATACCCTAATTCACTGACTCTAGGCAACCACTAATCTAGTCTCTACATTTAGATCATATTTTTAAGAGAATTATTTTCCAAATTATAATTTAGAGTACATTCGGAAGTTTTCTACTTATTAGTGTGTGACTATTCTAAAGATAATGCTTTTCTCACATAGTATAGATCAATTTTTCAGGTTAACCCCTTTTATATTTTTCAGGATTTTAATACTAGAAGAGATTAATTCCTAATTAGCATCTTATTGTCATTTTAAGGATGAGACAAAAGCTTCTCTTTGTTCAATTTTAGGAACTACTTTTGGACTTGAATTCATCCCTGAGGCATAGAAGACTAGGAACTTAGTATACCAAACCTAAAGAATAAGCAAAAATATTATAAATATGTAAGAATTTGTTTTATTAACTAACATAATTTTCTAAGCGTCAGTAAAATAATGAAATCATGTATGTTATTTTGAATATGTAAGTACAGATGGTTTTGGACTTAATGGTTGACTTATGGTTTTTGGACTTTATGATGGTGCAAAAGCAATACATATTCAGGAGGAACCACCTAGGCTAAGCTGTGACATCTGGTAGGTTAGGTGTATTAAATGCATTTCGACCTAACAATATTAACTTATGGGCTTATCATGATGTAACCCCATTATGAGTCGAGGAGCATTGTAAGTATAGGTGTTGCTCTGATTATGCTTTTGTTAATTTTTGTGCTAGTACAATTTTTACAACTTGGGAAGTATTTTATAATAGACTTCTTGGCTCAAATCCACATTTTCATTTTCTGAATTCAAAGCTACATTAATAGCCTCTTAGGGTTTTGAGCGAACAAATAAAAGGTATTTCTACTTATGGAAATGTTTAGACATATATATGTGTGTGTTTTCACATCTTCAGTATGATTTTTGAGGAATTGTTTTGAGCAGACAATGCCAGTTTAGATCTATAAGGTTTAATATACTTAACTTACATTCATTTCTTCACTTTTCAGATTCTCTGCAATGATTGCAATGGAAGATCTACAGTCCAGTTCCATATATTAGGCTTGAAATGTAATATTTGTGAATCCTACAATACTGCTCAAACTGGAGGTTGTAGAATTTCACTAGATCAGCAATGACCAGCCTAAACTGCACTGGAAAACAGCATTTTCTGATAGAAAAGACTATCTTTAGTATCCTGTTGTCATAATGTGTGAGAATCTATGCATTAGAGTTGATGTGTTTTGTATTAATGTCACAACATAAAATCAGTACAAGTACTTAAGGATTCAAGGTCTCTTTATAGAATTTTCATAGCTCTATATTTAATGAAAGCCATTTTGCTTGTGTTTTGATTGGAAATTCTTTTAGTGTTTATTTGGAAGCCAATTATTTGGAAGCCAATGATGTTTGCCACTGAAATTCACATCCATAGAAGTATGTTATACTTTCATGGAACTTTGCTTTAAATGGCACCATGCACGCAGAGTTCATTTCTAGTTCCTAATAGAGCTGTACTTAATTCTCAGTATTCTTGACTTTTTAAAGGCTGTACTATAATAAGGATATGTCCTATCTTACTGTTAAAATCCAATTACATATGCTTTAGAATTTTCTAAGACAGTCCTTTGGATCCTGTAAATGCGAATTTTGACATAACAACTGCTAATAAAATTATATTGAAACAGTGTTTTATAGGAAGTTTTTTCCAGGGTTATCTGTTTTGGACTCAATTAGGGCGGCAGTGTCATAATGTAAAAGAAATCCTCTTTTCTTTCTTATGAGGTATTTTTCCATAAGTGTAGTTGGAAAAAATGTAAAAGAATAGAACTCTTCCATACCTTAAGAAAACCATCAACGTTGAAAATAATTTTGTTTTGGTTGCCCAAACTTATTTCTTTGAAGAATAATTCATTTATTTAGTCAGTGAGTATGTAGTGAGCCACTACTTTGTACTGGGTATGGTTCAAATGCTGTACAGACAACAGAGAACAATGTGGACAATAGTCCCTGCCCTTACGGTGGTACCTTCGAGTGTTCCTCATACTTAACTAGCTTTTTACTTGTTTTTCTTCATGCATGCAGGGGTTGTCTTTGATGTAAGTTGGTGGGTTCTTTCTCTTATAAATGCTTGTAAGTAGGCATGGATGAGTAGAAGGGGCACAGAACATTCCTGGCAAGATCTCTGATTTTATAGTACTTTTTTTGACTCATGTAATGGAATTAAATATAACTCTTAATTCAGGAACAAAGTATACAACAGTGCTTAATGATCCAAACTTTAATATCCCAGTATCCAACTTACCCTGTTTATAAAAAGGTTAGGAAGTAAAATGTGTACGTATCAATCAACAGATGTTTATTAAATACCCATTACATCTCTAGCTTTGAGCTAGTTGAATCTTTTGTGAATAAGGAAGCTAGTTTTATAACTAGAAAGCCAAAACATTCCTGGTACTTTTATTCTTTTG